TATATATGAATATGAGAATGAAGAAGAAGAGGAAAAGGAGATGGAGGAACAAGAAAAGCGTACGGGTGTTCTGGTGTAGTTTTCTCCTTCCTACTTATTCAAACATCCTTCGTCCTTATCTCTCCTCCTTTTGTTTATTTATTGCTACTCTCTTGTAACACCTCTAATCTTCTACACCCTTATGATGTTATTGTGTAGTAAGTGCCATAAAACTCTTAGTAAAAAAAAGGAAAAGTGTCAGAGATGACAAAGAAGAAGAGCAGTGCCGAACAGAAAAAGAGGGAGTAAAAAGTAAGCGAACTTTTTAAAATAATAAACTAAGAATTCTACTGCTGGAGAAATGATAAGTCTCAAATACAATTTTCAGTTAAAATTTATTTGCAAGTTGATATGTTAGGCAAAAAAATACTTTTATCTTCATAAACTTGTAAAAATAGTTAATAAACATTTTGATTTTTTATAAACAATAAATACTGTAACAAAATGAAACATCCATTCAATACATCAGTCACACAAAAGAAAACAAAAACAATTTCAGTTTCTCAGTTCAACAAAGGTTCTTGACATGCACAATTTGCAGAAGGGATCTCAACAGGGGTTTTTTCACCCTCATTCAAGAAGATTTGGGCCACGACACGGTGGAATCAGGCACACGTAAATTTTTGGGAATGTGAAGTTATTGGTAACATCTGAAAGCTGATTCAATTGCCTTGCTTCCAATGAAATAAATATCCATTTATCTTGAACAGAACTCAAGATATTTGAGAATGAACGAAGTGAGGTCGTCTGCTTTCAGCATTAAAATTAGCAAGGAAAAGGCCGCCAAAGTTCGGTAACTGCAATAGCTAAAGATTCTTCTAAAACTGAAAAAAGACATATTTTGAGTCTTTAATCAATGTTTTTCAGTAAAATTCACATGCAAATGTGTTTTTATATGGACATAAAAGGTCTTTAGCCAAAAAACAAAAATTAGAAAGAAATTATCAAAGGGGAGCGCCTGATTTCATCACGCACAATGCCTCACATTTGACACTTGATCAAAGCCACTGTGAAGAGAGCTGCGAACCTCTACCGCCACCTCCCCCAACC